CAGAAATGGTGTCCCACATTCATTGTATGTTCGATTTGATACAAACAGCTTTACTAAATCACCATTTTTATGAAATGGGTGTATTGTGCACTAGTAAGAAGTCATTTAGCTGAGTCACTGAGCCAAAGTGATTTATTGTACACTTAATAAGAAGGACAGTCTCCCTGGAGTAACGTGGGGTTAAGCGTCTTGCTCAAAAGTACAGTTCATGAGTGTACAGTTCATGAATTTCCCCTTGCAGGATTGAGCTTCCAATCATTCTAGATAAAGTAAGCCAGCCACCCCACTAAAACATTTTTTAAAACATAATTTCAAAATCCTATTGTGATTTGGTCCTAAATCATTTTTTACTCATGGATACTCTTATAATGAGAAGTCTTTCCAGAATTTCTCTAGCAACAGCATTCCCTTGAGACTAAACTGCCCACCAAAGTGTCTGTGGCTTCCAAATAAGGGCCTTTAATATGCAGTGTGCCGGGTCGAGATAATGACTCGCCACACACCTGTAATTGAGCAATTTGTCTTTTTCCCAGCCAATACAGTGCAATAATCTCTCTATATAGAACTGATTCAGTAAATGCCACGTGTCTCTTTGGATGCCGAATAAATGCATTTGCATTATAATGTGATGAGTACCTACAGAGCGGGTGTTGCAATATGCCACACTGCTCGTTGCCTGTGGTGATTCATTGCCAGAGTAACAAAATGCAACTGCTCAATGTGAATATGATCTTTATCCACCCATTTTCTTTGTTTTCTAGTTAAGAGGTTTGAGCCTTATTATTGATTAGGCAGATTCTTTTGCATGAAACTGAAGGTTTCAGTAAAGGAAAGTGTGATGAGTGTGGGCGGGGACGAGAGCCGTGGGAATGGAGCGAGGCCGGTGGAGTAAGTGATAACGGGCGTCACCTGCGCCACTCACCGGTCTCGAGTCCCACGGAGGAGCTCCGGAAGGATAAAAGGAGGAGTGACGACAGTGCAAGACGAGAGAGGACCAGGACTGGACTTTATTTTGTGTTTTGGTTCTGTTTGTGCGCGGCAGTCGTCCGCGAGGGGCTGTCGCGCTATTTTGTGTTTATTTTATTATTAAAGTTTAGTTTGAATGTTCGCCGGTTCCCGCCTCCTTCTTCCTGAACTACGAACTTTGTTACAGAAAGGCTAGAGGCAAAGCTGGCAATGAAACTACTCTATGAATGAGGCGTGCCATGAAATGCCATCAGAATTAAAATCATTATTGGTTACATTCTATATGCACTTCCTCCAGTCCAGGGGCGTAGCCATCATTTTAGAAGTGAGGGGGAACAAATGTAATAATACTTTCTTTTTTTTTTGTTATTGACAAGTTTTATTTTTCTATTGTTTCTTACTTTTAATTGGTTAAGAAATCAAATACAATGCTAGACAATAACCAATCATTTGTATTATATAATATGTTTCATACATATTCCTCATGACAATTGTATGATTTGTTTAGATACTACAAACACTTTGTTTTCCATTTTATCACAAAATAAGGCAGAATAGTTGCTATACTGTAATAAATGCAATGTCAATTAGCACTGCATTATTCATATACTTTATTTATTACCTGGAGATAACTTGAAAAACACACATAAATCATATATTGTCACAATCGTGTGTTTAATGTCTTCATGTTTCATCAGTTCAAATGTTTATTATTATTATTACTATTATTACTATTATTAGCTTTTTTATTCAGTTTAAACAGCGATAGCTGGATGCTTTTGTCCATGGACAAATTCCAAACAGAAGTGAGCATCCCTATGCCCTATTCCCTTCGAAGGGCAGAGTCCTTGAAGTGTGTTCTTTGAAGGGTGAATTGCATTACTGTCTCATATAAACATTTGGAACTCTCTTGGCGAAGGGAATGACTGACCAGATGTCACCTTGATAACGCTGTGCGTGTGTGCAGCATTCAGCACTCCATCAGTTGTTGCAAATAAATATTTCTTTTTAAATCATATTTCTAACACTGACGAAAAATGTTTTGTATTACATTAAAATAAAGAAAAAAATGTAATTAGCCTTGTCTACTTATGTTTGTATGTGAAGTCGAAATCAACCTTAACTTTGCTTTAAAATGCATTGCAAGATCTCCTAACTGAAGATCACATGATCACAAACGGAAATAACTTCCATCACATGGTCCCTTCACTAACGGACTTGAAGGCCCTATAAATGGCATCCCCTTCTCAAAGTGCCCTTCAAGGGTGCAAAAATTCGCCACATATTTGAGATTTCCTGACACTTCATAAGTTATTACTTCTATGAGTCCGTCTTGGACATTCTGCGAGAGAGCGCCCTCCGGCGTCAAGTATGAATGAATCAGACACTGCATGAGAGTGTTTAGCTCTCCGTAATGATCACATCGCCTCAGTCTGGATACAAATATAACATCAGGTCATGCACAGACTATCCTGTCTCTTTGAATTTAAATCTAGATTTATTCACACCGGCTATTGAAAACCTCTTTGTGAACACCCATTTTTCTTGCCCGAAAAATGTGCGGGGGACATGTCCCCCGTGTTCCCCGCATATTTTACTCCCATGCTCTAGTCTCAGGTTTAGATTACTGACTTCCTTGTTCTAAAATTTGACCTATACAGACTCAGAATTAAGTTGTCAGGATGAGCTGAGTTAAAGTTATCATGCTTGTCTAAGAACATGTGCTTCTTTAACATGCAACCAGGGTAGCACATCCTGACAGGCAGAAAATACTAGAGGCATTTACTACTACATTATAATGGGATATAAACAAATGTGTATTTTCATTCAGTAGGTCTAAGATTATTATTGTTACCTAAAATCAACACTAAAACCATAAAAACTGTTTTGTTACTTGGAATAAAATAAGCATTAAATGAAATAAAATAACATAAAATTAACTTGAATAAAATCTGATTCAAAACATTCATAAAAAAACGACAATATTACATCAATGTACTAAAATAACACTGAGTAGAGCACAAAATACCTAACCTTAACCAAAAACCATCTGTCATATTTTCTGAATTCCTTACTAATTTCATTTTATTTACTTTTTTATTTACACATAACAAATACAAACATTTTCAGAGTGTACTTTTGTACTAATAAGTACATTTGCAAATAACTCTTTTTCAGTTTCTTGGGTGAGCATTCAAACACTACAGGCTACTTTAACGCTGACAGTGATAAGTCAACAAAAGAGCTCTAACTCTAACAGTTCTTTACATGAAGGAGGGCAGGGGAAATTATCTGAGGGCTAAACACAGTGGCTTTTGTAATTGACAGAGTACACATTAGTCTATTATCAGTGCTCTTCCCATCCATCTGCCCTTCACCCTCCCACCCACCAATGTATAGGTCCTTTTCTATGCCATTGAAGTGGCATAACTGAACATAGGCTAAATATTGGAGCTTGATAAAAATGCTCATTTTAGATGCGAAGCAACGGTTTGCGGTTAAAAATGTCTTAATGATGCATTTGTTTCTTACAAACAGCTTTTCACTTCATAAGATAGTAATTAATGTACTGGAATCATGTGGATTACTTGTGGGCTATTGTGATATTTTTATCACTGCAGAGGATCCTTTGATGAACAAGTGATGTAATGCTACATTTCTCCAAGTCTATTCTGATGAAGAAATCTAGGATGGCCTGAGGGTGAGTAAATTTTCTGCAATTTTAAATTTTTTTGGGTGAGCTATTTCTTTAAATAGTCAAAGAATGGGAACACTTTATTATAAAGCTTTTCCAATGAGTTGGCAGATAACATGCTATTTGTAGGGAATCAAGAGACAACTATATGGAAGACTGGACATAATTATTTAGCCCTAGTCTTTGTTGTCTGTTAAAGCACATAAAAGTAACTTTTAAAGAAGAGGATGAATGAAACAAAATAAAAAGCAGATCCAAGTTCCCTAATGCCACACTTTGGCAGCAGAAAGCATTTGAGCTTATCACCCAATTCCAGAGCAATGGCAAAAAGAAAGCTGGGAACAGGGTCAATGTGCCACAATAAATAGTGGGCACACACACACTGCGCAGATGCACTCCGTCTCAGCTGTGCCATAAACTCTGCCTGCGGCAGCCCATGCCAGACACTGTCACTCACTGTAACACAACAATGATTTCACGGGTAAATCAAAAACAGGCAGTAGCTCAGTGCGTTAAGCCTATATACCTAAATTCAACATAGGGCCCCTCTGCCAGATTGGACTGGGCACGTTCCAGCACCAAGGGAATCAGCATGTTTTCTAGCATGTGCCATCATATATGACTCACGAGTTACATTGCGCTTAGTTTCATCTTTGTTTACTGATACAGTCAGCTTGCAATGAGTGTATTGTAACCCACAATGATTAAATATAACTCCATGTTATGATATACTGAATATCAGCCATAAACAAACATGAAATGGGTTATCGTTTATTAAAAAAAAAAAAAGATCATTACTGAAGCTACACTATCTTTATCATGCAGGACTTTTTTTCTGACAATTTAATTTTGAAGACCGTTATCGAGCGCTCCAAAAAGGGTGGCTTTTCCATTTTAAAAAGGTGATTTTTAGAGTATGTTCATATAAAAGCAATAATAAAATATGTTGAAAGCAACGCTTTTAAATCAGCAACAGGGTAGATGATATACTTAATTTAGCCATTGCCTTGTGCTTAAGTTCATGACTTAGAAAGAGAATTTAACGGAGATAGTTCAACTATCTGGTTTTCAAAAATCATCTGTTTGTTGTATAAAGTCAACGGGGTCGACTAATAATAGGCTAGGTAATCCCCTACTGACTACTACGACGATGTTAATCGATAATTCCGTTTCTTGCTATATTCCACAGTATTAATCACGTGAGCATGAATCCCTTATAGTGAAAAGTCTGGCACGAGTCAGGGGAAGTATTCAAATTCAGTTCTCTGTAATTGTAAGTAAGCCTTGCACATGCATGAGTACAGTGAGAGTGGAGAAGCGCGCTGTCAGTCAAGCGCGCTGTGCAGAGCGGTCTCTGCTCAGAGATGTCTGAATATGTCAAGAATCACTTCAGCTGCCGCACGCTTTCAAACAGCACTCCAGCTCGTCTAGTGCCGCTACGAGGGAAGAGTTTCATATATGCCGTTTAGCTTCATAAGATTATGAGGGATTCCTTTGCGATTGCCGTGCGTATCTTACGGAGCATAGGGGTGAAGGAGGAACAGTTGGAGCGCTGTCCAGGGTCCTGAAGTCAAGAAGCCAGAGGTGCTGAAGACAGCACAGGCATTCACAGAGGACTGTATGTCTATGCCAATCAAGCCTTGAGATGACTCGGGAAAGGCTGCGTTCTGTGGCTGTCTGGGGATTCGTTGCGTGGGAAATAGGAATTCTGTTGAGGTAAGAGCAAATATGTTCCCTGGCGGAGGAAAGAGTAATGATAGGAGAGATTTTTTTTCTACAGTTTTGTGTCGGGATTCAACATCACTGAATACTTCCTATGCATCTGATCGTCATCGAGCTGTGTAAGTCGAAACTACTATCAAAATAAACAAAATTTGTTCTTTCAACCTTATAGAGCAGCAATTCAAAAAGCTATGCAGTTATGAAAAAATAGTGTGTCACCACTGTGCTCCATATTGCTATTGATGGCGTAGGTAAAGTTGTTAAGCACCTTTTTCTCAGTGTAACAGGTGATATGTTCCTATTTTCACATAAATCTCAGGAATCATAATGAAAAGTATTGTTTTCTGAAATAAAACAGAATTTATTCAGTTCTATAATTCATAATTATTATATTTTGGATAAATATTGATGATGCTTTTGTGCCCAAATGTTAGAAATGTGAAAATATTAAATGAAATAGAAAACAAAATATTAAATACTGCAAAGTAAAGTAAAGGTAATAGGTACTTGTTCAATAATTCTCTCTTCCTTCATATATAAATTAATGTTTTGCAAAGAGAAAATTGATCTTTCAGTACAATTTAAGAAGTATGTTATTTTTGTACTCCTTTTACTCTGACCATTTTAATTTTAAAACATTAAGATTCCAGTGGAACTTTACCTTCTTATGAATCCTGAATGATATGTGTTCAAGCGCAGTCATACATTTCTTATTTTGGGTGATTATTTTTTACTTTGCCTACTCTTTTGCCACCACCCTCCAGCCCAGTCTTGCAAGTAGTTCCAAAATATGATATTGGCACAGGAGAGAGTTCTGGGTCCCTTTGAACTGTACTGAATCCTCACAATTCTTTTATCTTATGATGCTATGAATTTTTAATGTTTCATTTGTTGCAATCCTTGGGACCACGCAAGCGTAATCCCTTGCATTATTGATTTGCTGGCACTTGCACTATATATGTCACCTTTGTATTGGTTGCCATTCAGTGTTCTTTGAGGGAGAGTTTTTACCTAAGCCACTACTTAGGATATAGTTTTCAAAGAAAAGCAGGATACGCCTCATTCCACAATTCAGAATTAATTACAGCGTACAGGAAACATTCCTCCTTGATACTAAATCTAACTTTACAATGTGTTATGTTGCAAAGATTTTTTTGCAAGAGCTACTCACCAGTAAGATTAATCTTCAAAGAGGGCAAAGATTCTATGGATAGTAAAGAGCTTAGCAGAGGAGGTGGAAGAGGAGTGTCTCTGTTTGATATCGTGCAATAACAATAGCTCAGCTTCACTTCACAACAGGTGCGGTGTCAGCAAACAAGGTGTTGAGTGGTAGTTGTGTGAGTTTAATCTCAATGTGCTTATATCTTAGTGAAGATCTTTAAGCAGAGATTTTATCTGCAGGCTCTGTAGCATCTCCTCAACTCTTTTTGATTTTCATAGTTGATAGAGTTTGATAGTTGATCGTTTTCTTTGATGATTTACATTCTTGGATACACTTTAATTTAAATACTTGAATAAAAATAACCACCATTATATACAATGTATTATATACAGACTTTGGTGTACCATAAATCCTAGCACATAATAACTCATTAAGATACCCTTCAAAATGTATCTGCAGGCTCTGTAGCATCTCCTCAACTCTTTTTGATTTTCATAGTTGATAGAGTTTGATAGTTGATCGTTTTCTTTGATGATTTACATTCTTGGATACACTTTAATTTAAATACTTTAATAAAAATAACCACCATTATATACAATGTATTATATACAGACTTTGGTGTACCATAAATCCTAGCACATAATAACTCATTAAGATACCCTTCAAAATGCAGATAATTTAATAAATTATGTTTTGGTTCATTATCACTCGACACCAGCTGTAGAACTTCGACAGATTAAAATGTCTGTTTCCTATTAAACAAAACAGTTGAAAAGTGTTAAAATTAGCTGGATTAAGTGAACTGTGGGCCTTAATCAATGTTATTCTTTGCATTGATCTACCACATTTACATATTTTTACTTTCACTGTGTCCTGAATTTTACTCTGACCATTTTAATTTTAAAACTGGAGCATAGTACAACTAAAAATGTTATTGAATTATTCTGTTTCTGTATTCTGGTTCTGTTTTTGAATATATAAGATATAATATATTGAAATCAGGACTATATTCTTTTTCATGTCCAAATATATATTTGAAAAAAATATATATAATTTCATATCTTTGGAGTTGTCAGTCGTATGAAACAACCTAACATTTTGATAATCAAATGTCTTCTATGTGTTTGCATATATATTTGAGCTTTCAGAATATACTGTATATCTCATGAACAACTGGTCCGTTTTAAAGATGTGAATACAGATGTTTCAGTTTCAGGTATAAACCAGAGATGATGGCACAGGTGTTATTTTTTGGATCATTACTGTTTTTTATTCATATTTAGAATGTTTTTTTTTCTGATTTCATTTAGATAATGTTTCATTTAGTTAAAATTGTAGTAATTTCTAGAGTGTTTTTGTCATTTTAGTTGTTTATTAATTATTATTAAAGGAGACATATTATGCCCCTTTTTACAATATGTAATATAAGTCTCTGGTGTCCCCAGAATGTGTCTATGACATTTCAGCTCAAAATACTCCATAGATAATTTATTATATCATTTTGAAAATGCCTATTTTGAGTAGAAGCAGAAACACTCTGTTTTTTGGACCTGTCTCTTTAAATGCAAATGAGCTGCTGCTCCCCGCCCCCTTTTCCAGAATAGAGCTGCGCCATTACAGCTCGTACCTGCTAAAAAAATATCTTATTATTAACACACAAGTTTACGTTAAAAACACACGAGTTACAAAAAAAAGTCGGTTATGTCTGTGAAGGTAAACAGCATGTTTTGCTCAAACTTTCGCCATGGCATTAGAAGTAGTACACTGTTGTCACTTGCGAAAACACCATAACGGCTCCGTGGATGGAAACTTACAGATAAAGGGGTGGTAATATTATAATGAGATCCCTTTGCCACGTCACCAAGGGAGCTAAATCAGACACGCTCGTTTTCTCAGACGCTTGCAGAAAAAGGCTTACCAAAACAAAGTTACTGGGTTAATCTTTTTCACGTTTCCTTGGTTGGTAGATGTACCGGGGACCTGATTATAGCACTTAAAACCTGGAAAATCAGATTTTCATGATATGTCACCTTTAACAATAATAATAATGTCTATAACATTTTTATTTAAATGATTTTCATGACGACTTCCCACAACTTATATATTTCTATTAAAAAAGAAAGTAAAAAAACACAACAAATTCATTTTTATACTCCCAAAGCCACATACTGTAGCATACACTCAACGTCTCAACCATATCAAAACATAAAGTCCTCACCACATCACCCCAGATGACAACACACACACATCAACAACCACAATCAAACAAATGGCCCCAGCATGCACACGCTTAGCATTTACACACTGAGAAAGAATACAGAGAGATATTTCAGCTGTCAGTTTATCCTCAGAGAGGATAATGAAATATGGCACCGCAAGGCATTGTGTTCATATCCGACACCACTCAGCATAGGTTTACATGCCTCTACTCCATACTAGCTAGTCATTATGTGACTCTGGGCTGACATGGATTCGAATGTGTTGTTGAATGTGTTATGAAGAACATAAAGGATGAAAATTACATGTTTAGTGCGCCAGAGGCTTTCTGTCATACCCTGTTTAGTTGGACATTGAATATCGTCTTAGTTTCTTACTTGTTGGTGGCTTCACGGATGACTAATCTGATTTCTCAATTGCTTTAGGAACCCAAATAAGGGCAACAGGGGTTAGCTGTCACACGGGGAAGTTGTCACAAGAGCTATAAGTAAAAATTAAATTATTCAAATGCTTTTTATGCAAATGTTGGTTTCAAACATGTCTACTTAAAACTGAATAATAAGCTAAAAAAATCTAATTTTTGCTATAGTTGTTGGTTAAACAAGTGAACACAATAAGAGGTCAACTGTATAATGACTGTAAATTGAAATAGTTATTTTAATTAATGTCAGATTAGGCCAAGACAGAATTTTAATTGGGGCAAGTTGTCACACATGTTTTTAAGCCTATGGGACGCATTTAAATAGAAAGTTCTTATTGTAACAACTTACCCCATATAGTGTGACAACTGCCATGGGTCACGGTGACATACAAGGTCAGCATGTTCTTTTTTCCCCCCTGATTAACAGTGGTGAAAATATTCAATACCTTTTTCCCCATGTAGCCCAGCATGTGCTTTAACAGTAACCGAATTTCAAACATAAGAGGAAGTCAATATTCACTGGGATGAAAAGTGTGACAACTAGCCCCAATCTCCCTTATCTTGATTGCAAATATTAACTTTGCATTTGGATTGGCAAAGAAAGAACACTTAATCAATCATAACTTGACATAGAGACACCGGGTAGAAGTAATTAGCATCTGGACTGAGAATTTGCAGTAATCTGCACTGACAGTTCACAAAGACTAACTGCTGGAAGGATTGAAGTATGTTATTATTAAAACTGACATTTTTATTGCAGGTTCATGGTTTGAAGACTGGATTTTATTATGTAATAGAAAAAAAAAAAGTCTACTGTTGTATGTCTTTGCTTCTATGATCAGTATTTATAATTACTATTCAGTGTGGGGAAATACTGCATACATAATGAATTTTATTTATCTATTTATTTTTATTAGGGACATTTTGTGTCAGCAGTTCTGCCAACTCAAATAACTTGACTGAACAAGGACAGACTAATATCAGCACTGGACCAAAGACAGTGTAGGTCACTGTGCATCAGTGTGTCATCTGCTCCAAAAGAAATGTGTGGTGTTGCGTGAGTCTCACACTTCACCCACCAAAAATATCCAGATGTATATCAGTCTATTAAAGTGTGAAATGTCTAGAAATACCTATATGAAATACCTATTATGTTCTTTCACTAAAAATGGGATGGAATAAGTACCTTTTTTA